TTAGTTAGTCGAACGACAGATGGCCGCATAACATTATTAATATCGGTTTGCCGTTTGACGCTATTTCAATTTATCACAAACCCGAGTCGGTGATTTTATAGACTTGATGACGTAAACAGCATCTAAAATGTTCATGACCTACAAAAGTATACTAGAGAGTTTCAAATAAAACCGGAACATTAAAAAAAAAAAAATTACAATCTTTCCTATAGGTAAAACAGAAACAATAATTGTCTGTTGTTGCCATCTTTACGCGACTTAACCACAAACATATTGAGTGATGTACTTAGAAACAAACATTCAAATTATATCAAATACATTTTCGCTAAAATCAATTAAATTTGAACAATGAAAAAACAAAAACTAATATTGACAATTTTCACGGGAATCAAGTCCTCCTCGAATGTGACATCGTCGAATGAATAAGGTCAGGTTGGTTAGATCGATTATGTTCCTCTCAAAAGTCACATAACGTACAGTGAAGACTTTGTATCTCACACTCCGACTGACCCGTCTCATTGACAAACACTTATTTCAGATGTTTGGTGTTAAAATAATTAGGGAAAAAATTAAAAACATATTTCCAAAAACGGCATATGAGGTTACAATAATAATTAACCGCAATTCAAACGAATCATTAGTAAATATCAAAAGCTCAATATTTGGCCCCGGGTTGTCGGGGTAGTAAACACATTGAATTGGCGGCAATAATTGTGGTGAAAAGGCTAGAAAGTTTGTTTGCCGCCTGCAACTTTGGCATCAGATTGCCCGCAAAAACTTTCATTTCCCTCCATATCCCTTTGCATATTATACCCTCTGTTAAATTCTGCCCATAAATAGAGCACATAACCACATCTGGCTAGCGGTGTAACAGTAACAGAGAAAAGGACCAAACATTTTGTTATGGCGCCCACAAGTCGACTCTTAAACCGTCCCCCTATCTACTACTGGCAGTTGTATTTTTTATTTATTTTTTACACTTTTTAATTTACGATTCATTCGTTAATTTTTTTATTCCGGAGCACACAGTGCAAATGTTACATGTAATGTTTACCCCAAAATGTATACATGCTAGTGAATCCTAGTGTGAAACAATAAACATAATTTATAAAACGTTATAATTATATTAAAAAAATATCTCTAACTCTTCATAGATATTCTAAAATATGTGAAATTGATTACGGCAAATATAATAAATATGTTTTCAAACAACTGAAATTTTGTACTTGGACCACCTAACAGTTATACAATTATATACAGTTTAACAAAAAAGTTTATAAAAAAAAAAAATATTAACTAATGTTATATATCCATGCTAACGTACTAAGTATTCAATTATAAAGCTGAATAATATGAAATAAATAGATTAATCAGAAATAAAATAAATTTAATATAAGCAAATTAAAAATAAGCGTTCAGCATACAACTTATGGAAGATGAAGGATATTTTTAGTTATTATTGATTAAAATTTTAAAAAAGGGAATTGTTGGCTATAAAATGTAATGAATCATTTGACGTAATTTCATAATGTCGCTGTGATAACAATTGAAAAGAAACTTAAAATTACATAGCTGAATTGCTTATAAAATAATTAATACAATAAAATATACGGTTGTCTTATTGTTCACTGTTGTGCCTGTGTACTGCGATAGTATGTAGTGCCGTGGTAGACAGGTCTGTGAATTAAAATTAAAAAAAATAAAAATCCAAAACTTACACTTTTCCGGGAAACATAGAAAACGCATTTGAACAAATTTTCCGCTGTATGTAACCCGTCAAACGTAGGTAGGGTACCCTACGGATTTAATTAATGGATCACTCAACAACACGTGGAGACACCGACCCTCGTTAGATTCAGGATATTTCCTTGCATAAAATCATTTTGTGTCAACATCATGTGCACATATACATATTTTTGAATACATACACATAAATTTGGTTACATCGGAGACCGCAGAGGTGTTCTTCGAAAAACCTATTAAAACCTATAGCCGCAATCCCTTATCCTACCGTTGACAATGCACCTCGGGCCCCCCCCCCCCAATCCAAACTCGACCTGGGCGTGTGGGCATGTGTGTGATATCACGTTGAAAGCAAACGACAAGTATACAAGTTACAGTTTTCAAAGTACGAACGAAGGGAAAATCGGAAACATTAACTCCAGAAATTCAGAAACTCCAAAAGTAATATCAGTAAATAAGTATTTTGAGTTATCATACCCTACAATATCTTTGTCCACATTCAAAACTTTTCCTAAATCAGTTCTCAGTGGAACAATTTGGAGGCATTTTTAATTTTTCCTTAGCCTTTTCTCTTATTTTAACTGGCAATTTTTCAATTTCAGCTGTTGTCATAAATTTATAAATTGGTGTAGAAAGTTTGCGTACAGTAAGTTGTTTTCTGAAGGTTTTTTTGTACATTAATATGAGTAAGATCTAATAATAAATCTTGTATAGGTTCAGTAAAAAACGTATTACTCAATTTTTAAGTAACAATACGATCATGTTACTGAGAAGGTATACTTGAATAATGAGCCTTTACTACAACATGTAATAACCATACGAAACTGGTATGACAAGGCTAGTCTTGAAGTCATTATAAGCAATACTTGGATACTTCAGTGAGAACTTAGGTTTATTTCCTATAGACCTCAGCTTATGTCAATCAATGTGTTTAATTGTGCATCATAGTCCTGCCTTTGTCTTCTCGATTTCGCTGATCTCAAGTCTCTTGTATTTTTTTTTTTTTTTTAGCACTTCTCGAGGCGCCATCCAATGTTATAACTTGTTAGTGGTATCTAAGTTTCTGTTTTGTATATTCTGTATGACACCCCGTACCGCTTGGCGCTTTCTACATTAATTAATCGCAAACTTTGTCCGATCACAATGGGTACACGATCAATTGGAAACTCGATATTCCTATACTTTACAACATGACCTTCATACCGCATTAGATAACTTCACTCTACTCCAAACGAAATTGGTAACCTAATACCTATAAGCTGCACAAACATTAACAAACGAGTTCCATCACAAGACAAATATCCTATTACTATGCAGCTCGACCGCAAATTGCATTACATCATTTATAGCTTTACCGTTTTTAGTTTTACTACCCAATTCCTAAAACATTGCAGGGTCTGCGATACACGGAAAGTAAGTAAATAATAAACAAGTATAATATGTGGGTCATTTTCACTCATCCACGATTTATGACTTCAAAATCCAAAAAAAGGTCTTAATAAAAACGTTTTGTTTTCAAATTTTTCAATAAAAAAATAAGCCCAATTTCAGGGGTGCTTATTAGTTTTAAGTTTAAATGTTCATGAAATAGTATATTTCCAAAAATCATTCTTAAGCAGACAATGCTGTTATACTTTTCCAATGTCGATTTTTTTCAAGTGATCTATCGCTATACAGGAACAATCTTGAAAGGATCTACCAAAGTAACATTGGACTTATTTAAGACCATTTTATTTAAAGCTAACTTTACTAGAGTTGTACTTAAAAAAGGTTATCTTTATAAATAACCAAGCATAAATGGTTTTGCTAAATCCCATTCAATTACTCTTTTTTCAAATATCAGTTTTTACAATAATAATTAGTTAAATATAACAATTTTTTTTTTTAATTGTAACATGTAAAAACGTATAGTTGATTAAAAATAATTATTTATTTTAACACGGTTGAAGGTTAGAATTTCTAAAACAGTTCTCTGGTTTTGTACTTTGAAGAACAGCAACTGAAAATAAACTTTTTCTCTCTTGATGTCTCCAAGTTCGGGCGACATGCCAGCAACGAGCTGTGTTGTCCTCCTCTTGGACATTTTTCTTCGTGTTTAATTTTAACTTTAACTAGTTGTAAAAACTTTAATTAAATTGCACTTTTAGCTGCAAGCGAGTTGAAATGAATTTAGGCTACCGGTTTTGTGGAAACGATTTTTGTAATTAGTTTGTTGAGAATACTCTTCGAAAATCAATATAAATTCATTTTCTGAAGTATTCTCTGAACTAATATCAAACCGTTGTCGGTAAACTTTGCTATTGCATTTTTTTTCTCGAAGCATTTCTCTATGCTAAGGCAATAAAAACAACAACGAGTTGCTTGGATTTATAAATGGAGACTTACATTTGTATGCCACATATAAGTAATCACTTAGTAGTAATCGAATTTAAAAATTTATTTTATTAAATTATCGTTTGGAAGATGACGAGGCTCTCTTATCGTTGCAATTTCTTATTTTATAGTCTTCAAATTCGGATATCGGCCGTTGAGTAGATGTCTTAGGTACTTATCGAAATTAGATTTTTTTTATGAGTCCTCCTAACATTTATGGGCTTGGTCTTAAATTTTCAAGTATACATATAAATAAAACACGAATAGTTTCAAAAAATAAATCTATTTTTAAATGTAATGCCCTCCGCGAGGCACACCATTTCTACAGTCGACGAAAGGGTCCATCGAACAAATCTTAGAAGGTAATAAAACTATGAACACAATAAATAAGATACCTCATTTTAGTAGACTATGCAATCAACTGCCAACGACCAACAACACTGTCCGTGCAAGTTTCGCTTTATTTAATTTATTTTTATTTTTTTGAAGTAGAAACTATATAACAGTTTTATAAGTAAAGATATTTTCCCGAAGTTATTAAAGGAGACAACAAATAGAAAAAGTTTTTCGGTTTTTTTTTTGTCAATTTAATAATAATGAATGTATATAATATAAAATAAAACATATTATCGTACTTTTTACATCACTCTGATTAAAAATTAACTTTGTATTCAATCGACTACATGAACTAACAGTAAATAATACCTATAGTATACTTTTTTTCATTATCGTCGGGCAATAACACATGTTATCTCATTTTGGTTTAAAGTAAAACATTTTTACTGAACAATAACAATACACATACTGTAATTATTGAAGATGTTTCTTTTGCTGTGAAACGGAAAGCAATTTTATAATAATAACTTTTACGTTTTGCATTACAGTCGAGACTAACCGTCAGTTTGAGGCAATGCGAAGCTACTTGAAAGAGTTGGATGTCGATGAAAACGTTTGGATTGGATTGAAACGCAACAGCGACACCACTGAATTTACATGGACGTGAGTAGTACATGCCCAAATTACCAGTGAAATGTAGTATTGGTTTTTTTTATGTACATTTTTTATTATCATATCTGTATTCTCTTAACTACCTAGTACCAATAACGATTTTTCAAAGACCAATCATACCCACTTAGTTATTGCCGTGGGTGCAATGGTTAAGGCATCTTACCTTGGTCGATTAAAGACAAAATTCGGTTTTCACGTGTCAACAGAGAGACTCGCTGAAAAGGGAAATCCGTTTCAAATTGTATCCATACCTAGGTCAATTGTTAATGAAATTTATATTCCATGTGCGCACCGCCGCGAGTTCGTTGACTAATATTAAAGGGATAGTCCTGGCAATAAACTTGTTAATAATGTAACATTTGATAATCATATAGATTAAATAGAAGTTTCGAAACAACCCTATACAGCGTTCATCCCAATGATGCAAGTCATTATGTAGTTGTTATTATGTAATTGTTTGTTTTACTGATCAACATATGACTTTGTGTTTGCTCTCAGCAACTACCAACCTCTGGTCAAGAACGGATACTTCCGGGAAGAAGTTCCTCGCTCGTCTCAACCGTTATGTGTCGTCAGCGACCCTATGGCTAACTTCAAATGGCACAGCATGCACTGCGGGGGCCCCGATGTTGCTTCGTTTGTTTGCGAACTTCCAGGTACGTGTAACGCATTGCGATTTCATAATTTATTTATTTTTCACTTATTTGTCTCTCTTGCCGCACACATATACGCAGTAACCACATATTGTATTATATTATTATGGTAATAGGCCAGCCCCAGCTGTTACCGCAATCCGGAATGATATTTCCATACTCTCGTTTCGATTATAACATCTTTACGTTTGTATATATTAAGCCAACTCACTCGCATAAACCGTTTTAAACTATACGTCTGCTATATTAGTGCAAGTTATTGCTCTTTTTTCTCCGAATGTTAATACTCGATGAAAATCAATCTCAAGTATTGCGGTGGGTTTGGCCTTGTTCGGTCGCCCGAACACGGTAGTCTCTTTCTCTAGATAATTACTGTCTGGTCAGCTTAAGTTAAACTAGCACTGCGACCAAACAAACTCGAGGACCACAAGGAACAGGAGAGAAAAGGTGACTGGTTTTTACCTTCTGGTAATGTCAATAAGACTTAACCGGCTTAACCTCCTTGGCAGCGGCCTATGGCAGCCGAAATCGTCTGTGATATGAATATAAGAATTATACTTATTTGATTTGTAATTTGTATGCTCTTTACGCTTACAGTACCTACTTGGGCGTCTAAAGGAAACGGGTGCATGACCAACTTGGACGAATCAATGACAATAACATTTTTACCGGAACTTCCCGCTGTGCAGCTGACCAGAGAATGTAGCCCAGGTGTCTCCAAAAACGTCAACTGCAAAGGAAACATGGTATGTATCGGAGTGACCATCGAAATCCAGTTTATTATTATTATTATAGAAAAATACTAAATTTAATCCGTACTTGTGGATAAGAAACAAGTTAAGCTCTTAAGACATTAATTAATACAGTAGGTATTAAATGTGCTGGAGTCGGGGAGAGATATCTAGTTTCTTAAAAAGTGTTTCAGCCAAGTCTTAAAAACTCATTACTTAGGCTAATAACAAGGAAATATTTGATTTTATAATACTTTATGGGCGGGTAGAACTCGTTATGCACATGCACAACACCAAAAACACAAGTAAAAAAGAAACATGTACATGTAATAACACTTACTTTAAAAATTAAGTGATCTCGGAGGGCTTTGTCTTTCAATTATGTACATACGCGCCTGGTAGATAGTTATAAAGGCTTTTATTTTTCATATTCCTAACCTAACCTAACCTAACCTAACCTCTACTGAATAACAGATAACTTCAATATGTGCGCGAGAATTATTACGGATAGGATACTAAAAAATATTAATAATAATAACATTAACGACAGTCTGTGTTCCCACTTGCCATCTACCAAGACAGGAAACGGGCTTGAATATGGCAAGTCAGTGATTGTTTTTTATCGATACGATCCTTTTATATTGGTTTTAGTGCGTTACTATAACGTATTATTATACACAAACGCACATATTGGGATTCAATAACAATAAATAATAATGCATATTTTATATCAAACATGTTTTAAATGAAACGAACGAAAACCTCGGTCGTTTGCCTAAACACTAGCTTTAATACGCTCTGGGTATATTGTTATGACATAAGTGCACATAAAATGGTCGTTTGTTTTTTTCAAAAAAAAAATATAAAATATAAAACTATTTTTTCATCTATGCACGAGTTAAAAATGTTTTTGTCAATCCTGGAGATCCCAAAATTGATAAAAAATAATTAATTTAACACAAAACGAACAGACCATTTCAAAATTATACACAAAGACAACTTGTTAAATCGATGCGGTGTGAAAGATGAAGTGAAATGATGAGAATCCAAAAGGTACAATATTTATGTAATGGCATTTTTTTTCAAAAACAAATTTTCGTTCTTACAGTATTTGTCATTGAAACATATTCCTATTTGTGTTTGCTTTACAATATTGCTTATACATTTTCGAATAAAATATTAAATAAAGCTAATCTACATCACTCATAAAACAATTATTTTCAAATCGCTCCTCTCTAATCTTTTATAAAAGTCACTATAACCTTCTTATTTTAATTAGGTACTACAAAATATAGTACCATAAAATGCAATTGTGTTATTATTACACAGATTTACTCTCTACAGTAATAATTATATTCATTTTCATAAATTATCATATTTTGTGAAATAAAATTATAACATAATATACTAACATATAATAAATAATTATTATTCTAACGGTACAAAGTAAAACAAATGTACGGTGTATAACTAATACATTCTAAGTTAGTGACTTTATAGTATTTCAAGACACGCGTTAGTAGACCTACACTACAAACAACTAAATACAACTTTTTGTTTGATGTGTTTAGAAACAAGTAGATATTCTTGAGCAACTTAGCTGTCCTACTTCAGAGAAAATGTTGGATGCCATGTACAAAGCCGAAAAGTCCGCCACGATGGATGAAAATATCTACTACCAGACAACAACTACCGACGCTGGTAAAACATAACAATACTTACACGACTCCTTTTAAGCGTTTAACAGCGTCATGAATTCACTTCTACAATTTTTCTTAATTAATTCCTTGTTAATTATAATCTCTCTATAGTCTGACTCGTTTCGCACTCATCTCCCAGTGTGCTCAAAATTATCCCAACGGTTATTTTCTCTCGTGACAGGCTTCAATTAGCAGGCTTATTACACAATAAACCATTGCATATTTATACATAATATTCATTCTTGAAATATCTAACCTACTTAGTACAGCATCTTTATTTATATAGCAGGTTTAATAAAAAACTATGCTTGATGATACGAGATGGCTAATATTGTGCTGCCATCTGGTGGTCAAGCTACGACTTATCCACTTTGTCTTTTGATAAATTTATTTTTTAAGATATTACTATAACACTTAACTCGACTCTTACGAAAACGTGACTCACCACAATGGTTTTAACCCCTCATTTATTTGTTCGGTTGTCTATTCGATCACAAGCCTATTCACCAATGACATTTTTTTCTTGTTCTTCGCATACTAATTAATTTTGGTTTTTCGCAGACATCGTCGAGGACTACGCCATTGAGATGGCCACCATACCGCAATACAACGATGATCAGTCCATCTCCAAGGTGATCGGACACGGCAGTGGCGGCATAGTGAACCTCCCACAAGAAATGTCTTTCGTCCAGGAACCAATCAAGGCATCGAACCGCGGTATCGAAAGCAACCGCATCGAAACCTCTATGGACCGCTCGACCGCCGCTCCTTCGACCACCGCCAAATCTTCTGCCGGAACTACTACTACGGTCACGGCTAAGACAACCGTCAAACCTTCCACGGCTTCCACTACAGTGGCCCCCAAAACACCGTCTCCGACCGCCGCGGGTACTACTGCCACAGCATCGACCGTTGTCAACCCTACCAAAGGCCCGGTTACCTCGACTGGCACTACCACAACCACGGCCACCACTCCCACCACCACCGGACCGACAACGACCACCGAAAAAGGTGCCACCGTTACCGTTACCACAGTCAAGCCGGTCGCTTCTACTACCCCAACTCCGACTTTGGCGGCCACCGTCGGTTCAAAAGCTACAACCACTACCGTCACAGCAGCGCCTCCCACCGCAGCAGCCGCTTCCACCGTCTCCGCAACAGCCGCTGCCGTACCGGTGCCGACCAAGAGGAACTCCGCCATCGCCCCCGTCATCGCCGGTACAAAGGGCATCACCACGACAGCTCGTCCGTCCCGCGTGCCCGTCACCATTCCAACAACCGCCGCCACAACCGGCTCGACCGCGGCCTCTTCTTCCACGCCGAAACCGATCGCTCAAAAAAGCACCGAACAGCCCATTCGCGTCAACAAGAAAATCGACTTGCCACAGATCCCCATGGACCAGCACTACCATCGCAAAGGGCCGAACACCGCCGGCACTACCCGCTCGGCAGTTGCCTCTTTTGCCGCTACAACTATTACCGCCAAGTCCGTAGCCGTTACCGCCACTGCCGCCACCGTAAGTCCGACTAAAACCATGGGCGTCGCCGTCAACACCACCACCATCACCGCCAACACCACCCCGGCCATGACTATGACGCCAAAGGTTCAGCAGCAAATCACCATTACCACTCCGTCTACATCGACAATAACAGCTGCCGGCACCCCGACCACAACAACAACAACCGCCAAGTCCAGTTCCACCGTGGCCGCCAACAATCACCACAAGACCTACTACGACGCCTACACCGAACATCCTAATCACAGCCGCCACATTGTTCGTCAGGCTCAACCACACCACTCATACCCGTACATCTTGTACAGACTTTTGGGTTAAGTGGCCCATCTTCTTCCAGATGAAAAAAAAATCCGTATAACGCACTTAAAAAAAACTATGCACTTCTTTAAAGATAATGTGTGAATTTCGTAGGAGGCAAACCCTCGCAGTAGTATTATATAAAAATAAATAATAATAGTAATGTAGTAATTTAGCATCTTAGAAATTGTATCGTGTCGCATCCCAAGAGGTGATTATGTTATTATATTTGACTGAAAACAAAGTTTTACACTAAGGCGAGTTGTTTTCAAGTCGATTTTGTTCTCCGCGTAATGGTTGAGGTTAATTCGTTAATGGGTAATTATTTTAGCTTGCTTTCGTCAACTGTAAATCGCCAAGCCACCGTCTACACAATAAAAATATTTTATTTTAACTCAAACATTTTAATCGTTGTAAATTGGAGAAATTAATTGTATTATGACGATCATTAATTATTTTTCTCTCTCTGGGTATACCATTCATTTATTTATTCTCATCAGACCAAAAGTATTATTTATATATTGGATTTAAAAAACAAACGTTGATAGGTAAACATCATTAAGCAGCGATAATTTCAATACCGAAAGTGTCGATAACACCTTAAATCACTTGCCTTAATTGCGCCCATATAAAATGCGCCCACTACCAACGCTTTTGATGAACCCCGATGGTTATGTACAACAACAGCTATTATAATACTCCCTTGGATGCGTCACTAAGTTATTTTGTAAAATTAGTATCACTATTATGTAACAATATATACGGATTTTTATTGCAATGCACTTATATAACTTTAAAAACGAGTTTAACTCAAATAAAATTTAATACATCTCTTACAAATTTAGCTTATTAACTCATACTTTATTGATAATAGTATCTAATATAATTTTAGTCATTTGTAGCTTTGTAAAAGTAAATAAACTTTGCTATTCTAAATACAATGTTTATTACCAAAAGTATGTGTTATATTTTTTTCTTCCATCCAATAAACTACCGAATCCTAAGATTAAATGCACGATTAAAAGCTAAAATTATTTCATACAAAGTGCTGAACCACCATTAATGGACAACAGTTGCCAGTTTTGTAAAATTGACTTAAATAATATACCAAATCAAATGTGGTCAATGTGTTTATTTTCTAAAAATGCTAACTCGTCAACTGCATAAATTATAATTAAAATTTAACTGATAAGAGGCGTATGTCTGTACTCTCTTAATTTTATTATACTTGAAACACACCATAGGAGTTCCTGGTTACGAAGTTAGATTTCGATTATGTATACTGGTTTGAATTATTAATAAAGATTTACAACTTTGTTTAACATGGTAAATTTTGAGGTTATTTTATTTAAAAATATAAGATATTAGTCTTCTTTAAAAGTGTGAAATATAAGTTCGTATAAAATAATTAGAGCATATGTTTTGCACATACTGATGGAACTCGTAAATGTAGTAACACCTAGTAGAAATTCAGGATTTTTGAGTAGGCACAATCCGTCAGAAAAATAGTATTTTATAAATTGAATGTCTTGTGAAAAGTAAAAATATAAATCAATATTTTATTATAATATGCATATGCAACATTATTGTTTTATGTAAAACAGATAAAACTCACTTAAGCTAAAAATTGTAATTATAGCATTACATTATGGAATAAACAATTATATATTTATTTATTTAATAATAATAACTGTAATGCATTTAAAGAGTTATACATCATTAGGACAATAACATTGGTAGCATATAGACCAACATTAATAATAAGTATAAAAACGTATCACTAATAATGTTATATGATACGAAATATATAATGCAATTATAATAGTGTACATCCCAAATTAATGATTAACCAAAAATACAAAAAATACTAAGTTGTATATTAAATTCTGTTTCATAATTCTAGTTCCTGCATAACTAAAGTTTTAATCAGTAAGTACTTCTTAGCAGCCGCTTTAGTATTTATTTTATTATTAGCTGTCATAGTGTTTATTATTATGTGTGTTAATGATAATAGTTAATATTAACTTTAGTGTCCAAATAATAATCTCAAATTCGAGTGATAGGATAGTATATTAATTTTGAAATAATTATTTATTTTTATTTTTTTGATACTATTTTGTGCGTATTATATGATATATCTAATGACGTTTGGAATTAATATTTGATGTCTAAATTGATTAATGATTATAAATATTAAGCGTCACAAAACATTTTTTATATTAAATGTTTTTAAAATTAAGTGCATTGAAATAATGTATTCAATACTATATCTAAATTAATTAGTTGACATTTACAAATTATACATATTATTTTCAAGTATTTGAACTCTATACAAATCTATAAGTTTCAACTTTCGTCCTATCATTATCACAATAATTCGATTTATTCAAAATCCTAAAACAACTTTTTTAATACTATTCATTAAAAACAAATGTACACAACAAATTTCTAAAAATAGTTTAATTAATTTTTTATTGTCTATAATAAATAAATGAAAACAGCTGCCAAATCACTGCTAACAATTTCAACAAAAAAACATTTTACTTGTACTAGAAATTAAATCACGATAAAACCAATGAAAAATAAGTTGTTTGGCTAAAATAAACAGAAAAAAAAAATCTTGCCAAGCGATAAAATTTTAACATAAGTTTAACTTATAACAGTTAACATAATCATACATTTTACGATTATTCAGCTAAAAAGTCGAAATGTTTAACACATGTCGATAAGACATTTTATCAACTGTAGAAATTTCAGATAACTACGTTTAAGAAAATTGAAAATTCCTGTCAAAATGAAACCTAATCACCACCAAATTTTAATCAGTTCATCTAGACAACCAAAAAACATACTGTTTAAATAATTGTAGAAAAAAAATCGAAACAGTATAGTCGCTATCATAGGACATAGGAATCACACACAGCTATAAAACAGAATTTCAAATTGGTCTATATTCGATGACATTAAATATGTATCACTGTATCTTACACTGAGGAATCAAAAATACTACAATAAAATATGAACCTGTGTTGACTGATTTTTGGAAAAGTACCTATACCAAAGCTAACATTATTAAATGTGGTCTTTTTTATAGCTGTACAACAAGGAATATTTTATCTTCTATACTTTTAAATTACCTTTAGTGTACATCTATAGTCGCTATTAAAAATTTAAATAAACATTAAAATAATTTTTTTGTTCAAGAACAATTTAAATGATAATTCATATTTTAAAAAAAATGTTCAAGAAAAAATCAAATAAACATTTATTTACCTACTTAAAAATAGCAATAACAAAATGTTTGTACTGTAATCAGATCTACATAAATAAACTATATGTTTGTGGCAATATGAAAGTGAAGAGTCAATTTAAAAAAAATGTTAGGTCACATTTCCCCTTATTTTTTTTTTTAATTTAAATGAGTTGCTTATGATTGCTCATTACTAGCTGTGGAAACGGAGCTTATTTAATTTTAGAGACATGAAAGCTTTTCAAAATTGGCTACACAAGTTTTAATATAAAATGACTTGAATAATACATTATTTAATAGTAAATCAAAATGTCTTTTAAATAACAAATTATTTGTCGCATTAAAATACAAATAATTGTTCTTTTATTTATTGTTTAGGTTATTAAAAAAATTATTATAATGTACTTCAGTGAACGAGATTTTTTTATAGATTGTATACTTCAAAAAATTATTGAAGCAGATAAAACACAATATATATATACAAACAAAAATAAAATAATTAACAATATGTCAAATGTATCAAAACCAAACGCTCATAGTTCCGCGTCCACCTTAAAAGCCAAAACAGTATTCAATTATCAGTAAAAATACATATCAGTACAACAAACATTAATAAACGGTCGATTGTCGAATGTGGGAAGCTAGGTGATAATAAAGATGATGTTGTTTATAATTAATAACTTCAACATGACCTTAAGTACAAAAATCATGTGAATAAGAGAGATGCAAAAAAAAGTAATTAAAATCACCAATGTGTTCTTTAACAATAACACTGTAGGAGCTAACAATAGATACTTCACGATTAAAATACATTTTAGAAAAATGTATATTAATAAAATATTACTTAGCATCGAATTCACAGGAATATTTAATAGTATTTATTTTATTAAATAATACATTAATTAATTAATAAATACTATTAATACTATTAATATAGTATTTAATATTTATCAACAAAAAAAACAGCTACAAAAAGTTTAAATTCTGAAAATTTTTTTTTTTTATTAATGGTAAAAGCTTCAATTACAGGATTATTAGCCTAGAAGTTAATGTACAATAAATTTAGGAATTAGAATAACATGATATTTATAGTTTATGGCTTATATTTACATTGTGAACAAGTTTAATAATTTCAGTGGGGTTTTCTTCTTTGAATGCTTGGTGAAGTGTGAGAGGATTGTTGAGTTTCTTTCGTGCTTCTCTATATTTGGGGCAGTTGATGATTATGTGTTCTATCGATAATATTTGCTTGCAAGTGTCGCATACTGGTGCTGGTTCCTTGTTGATAAGGTATGCATGGGTTAGGTGAGAGTGGCCTATTTTAGCTCGGGTGATGTTTGTTTCGTCTCTTCTTTTAATGTTAGGGGGGTACTTCAATTTTTTAACGTTTAGTTTTACATTCCTAAGTTTGGATTTTTGTGGAGAGGGGGGATGTGGTGGCTTCATATGCTGCCGTGTCTGCTTTCTCATTTCCGGGTATTCCTATATGTGATGGGACCCACATGAAACATATCGATAAATTTGTTTCAGATATAAATTTCTGAATGTGTTGAACAAGCTCATTCTTGGCATAGGGGTTTGAGATTGATGAGAGGGCGCTCAGAGAGTCACTGATAATGATGCTGTTGCTTTTGGTATTTGAAGATGTGATGATTTTTAGGGCTGAGTAGATAGCATAAGTTTCCGCTGTATATATGCTAGAAGAGGGCGGTAGTTGAAAAAGGTGATTTTTCTGTTTTGTGATTACTGAGAAACCCACGCCATTTATATTTTTAGAGGCATCTGTGTATAATTGCGTATATTCCGGGAATTGTTGAGCTATTATTTCATTGAAATAACTGCGTATAACTTAAAATTTTATGTAGAATAATTACTGTCGAACTTAGAGTACATTTAACTACATTACAGGACTATTTCTAGTTGAAATAAAAGTTTAAAAAAATATTATTAGAATAACCAAATTGGTCGATAGTCAATAATATACTTGTTTTAGCCGTGGTTATAATTTACCCTTACGTTTCAAACTATAACTTTCAGATTCGAATTTCGCGCCTTTTTTTTTTTGGCTACTCCCAAGGAGGTTATAGACACCCCGCTGGTTGTTGTCGTTGTGTAAGCTTTAATTTGGGCGCGTCCCCCGGGGGCGGTAAAGCGCTAGATGTACTCGGCTCATTTGGTAGCTGCTGTGCGGTGGCGAGAGTATTTAGGCACTGGTGCAGTAAAGTTTAAGAGAACTACCGAGAAGCCACGTCTTTATTGTTACACTTGACCTTTGGAAATCGGAAGACGGCAGACGGAGTCTTGTTCATCGACAGGTAATCATACTATTATTATTAAAAATAAATAACTAGTAGCATGTATTATAAGTTATGAGTAGTTATTAAATTCTCTTCGGGTTGGACTTCTTCAATGAAAATGATTCGGTCGAATATAAGATGTTTAGTATTTAACGAAGCTCAGACAGTTTGTTTTCTGTGTTAGCCGTAGGTATTTTTAGTAGATGTTCATTTACCTATTTATCGTGTAAACTCAAACGACATCTTCAATACCAGTCGATCACCTCTACGCTTATTGCTCTCCTTGTCTCGTTATTCGTTCTTCTTTCAGCACCTCTAAAACACCCCCAGCTACTATTATCTCTCGTTGCTACCAAGGTCTTTTTAAATGGGACTCATGTCGTTTTTCGTTAATCCAACGATATTTTACACTATGCGCGTTGGTAACTTCTTTGCATTCTTTTACTTTTCGCTATATCCCATACAAACGGAGTCGGCCAGTCGAATCCGCTGTATCCGCAAAGCTTATCCGTCGCCATTGCTTTATTCATTCCACGAGAATGGACATTAAGTAATACGGAATACTCAAACACAATTACTATGAACAGATAAAAGTTTAAGGACCACGCCCTGACACCGAGACACTATTGGCCACCCTGTATAATATAATATACATATATACTATGCTACCCCGGATGACGGGGTCAAATATTATTGATCCGGGGGTGTATCCTTCATCCCCATTTCGATGGAATGGCAGAGAGGAAACTATTCGGTCATAACGCAAGCGCAATTTCCTGCAGCATCCCGCTGCTCGTAGCACTAAGGACAAAGGGTTTAGTATGGTGCCGACGCCATAATAATCACAACGCGATATCTGTGCATTTGTCCATTCGCCGGAATTCGACCGCCCTTTTGCTGACGTCTACCCAGACTACCGCAAAGTGATTTCAACACACAAACAGGTACTTATACTAATTTATTATAACTAGGAGTCCGTCAATTCCAATAGTTTAAATAACAGGCCAAGCTATATCAAGCGACAGCTTTTTTCCAATGTTCTCTAATGAGTCTCTAAACCACTTAATCCCAAACGGCCCTCACCTCAGCTGCGTGGATCACAATTCGAGATTGCGTTAAAACAACACAACAAAACATTTCATTTTATTTTAAGTACAATAATTTGGACATGCATGCACTTGTCAACCGAATGTCTTTAATCCTACCCCTTTCTCATATGACCTACTTATTTTTTACGTATCTAATGGAGATAGGTATGTGTAAAAAAAGCACAGATTTTCCCATCGATTATGTTCTGGTAACAACTCCACCCTCACCCACCTTCCCTACCCTCGACCAATCTTTCCCACCCTCTCCCACTCATTCTCGCCCTCTCCTACCCTATTCCACCCTCTTCCACCCACTCCCATCATATACTCATGCGCAATTGCCAACGACAGACTGCTGTCTGTAGCGCTAATATCGGAGGTTTCAGAAGAGTACCAACGCCCAAACCTAACGCGATCGTGCATATCTGTGAATTTATCCGTTTCGTTAACAGAATCCGACAGCCATTTTGCTGACGTCTACCGCAAATCGATATCAAAACACAAACAGGTACTTATACTCATGTATTATAACTAGGCGTCAATTCTAATATACATCCTTAATTAAAATAACAGGCCAAACTATACCAAGCGACGGCTATTTTTGGTTTTTTTTTTTTCTAAACCACTTCATCCCAGACCCACCTCAGCGGCGTAGGTCGCAATTCGATATCGCGTTAAAACGAAACAATGAAACATTATATTCTCATGATGAAAACAATTTGGACATACATGTATTTGTCAAGCGAATGACTTGATCCTACACTTCCTTTGTGATTATAGTTATGTATTCAAAAAGCTTAGATTTTGCAATCGATTATTTCCTGGATGTCAACCCCACCCTCGACCACCCTCTCCTGCTCTCAACGATTCTCCCCCACCCTATCCCATCCTTTACCCGCCCACCGACCCGGATTTCAATACGGATGACGGAATGTCTATTTTTGATCGGTTATTCTTAAATGACAAACTATAATAATTTATTATCAATACTCCCCCACCCGCTCAAACCCTCACCAACCCACAACCCCTCTTTTCCACCTTCTCCAACCCTCTCTCACCTTCTTTCACCCTCTCCCACATTCAACCACCCACAACCACCCTTTACCCATCCGCTAACCTGGATTTCGATACGGATAACGGATCGTTTATTTTCGACTGGTTATTCTCGGTTATTTTTAGTATTTTCTATTGTTTTCATTTTGTAACTAGAGAATAACCATCGCGACGTCCCGCCAGGCTGAATTCACACATTTAGACGTAGCGCGTTTTTTTAGTTAACCAAAACTGAAATGGACCCAAAGTGGTTAGACAAATTCAGAAGTATACATTGCAAATAGTCATCATGATCAAAAAATTGAAGTTACTGTTTTTTCATAGCAAATATCATTATTTATTATAATCCTAATTTTTTTTAATCTAAATTAATTTTAATATTTATTTGTTGTCTATAATTTTATATTATATGCAATATGTATTTAAATAAGTACATAAATAACTATATTATATTAAATTATTTAAATCATTCAAGCAAATGCTGTATGATAAAAAACCAAATAATAAATTATTAAATAAAAAATTATTTTTTCTTGTCACTTTATATAGATGAAATATATTTAATTAAATTCCAATAAATGAAAATGGTAAAATCACTTTAAACAAAGGTTTCAGTGCGAATCTTTATAAGTAATAAATATCTATAAAAGTATTGTAAAATAGATAATGTACTTAAAATTGTATTTTACTATTTTGATGGATACAATTAGCTTCTCAGATTCACACCAAAACTAAAATAAACAAGTGTACAATTAAAAAAATATCCGTAGTTCACTCAGCTACAGCCATGTTTTATTGAAGTGATTTTTTTGAAAATAGAAGCAAACCTTACGACATTAAACTATTGTATGACGTATATTATGGCTAATTTTTGCGTTATTAGATCACAACTTTAATACCATTTTATTAAACATATGATTTTTTTGTTACACTTTTGTAGGTTGGTTGACATCTCTTATTTTAACAAGAGTTTTGAATTTGTAAATGTTAAACTATTTCGATTTAGGATTTTAAACTAATTTGGACGTCCCCGAGATATTCTAGTTTGTTATGTCAACAATAATAATTTTATTGCTGACTTGTTTTACATGTCTTTTATCTTTACAGTACCGACTATCAGTGTAAGCGTTTGAAAACAAAGAATGGCCAAAAAGGGGATTGTATCGACTGCAAAACAAATCATGAAGTCTATCAAAAAATGGATCATAGGAACTGGTAATGTCTTTAGTTTTTAGACAATTAGATTTTATAAATATTAGGTCTACTATAATTAATGTTGCCTTTAAACTACAAGTTTAGTTTAAATAACTACCTATTTAATTAAAAGTTAAACTAAAAAGTCTTACTATTTCCTTGTTAGTTTTTTTTAGTTTATGTAACACACTTTATTTCTATGCAAACTCAAGTGACGCTATCACCACAAACAGTCAATTTGTTCTGCGTTTATTTTTTTTCCCTGTCCCATTTTTTATTTTTATTTTAGCATGCCCAAAATCAAAAGTCTGCTGTTATTCTCCGTTATAGCTATTATGTGTATATATTTACTTATCTTGTCGCTTCCTTTTAATCTAACGACATTATGTTCTAAACACTACACACTTTTTCTGCAGCTTTACAGCCTGCGCATTGATGACTTTCTTGTTTTCTTTTTTTGTGCTTAGGTAATGGCCTCTCCAAATTATCTCCCGTCACCATTCCTATAATCATTCCAGACATCTAATTTTTTTTTTATTTAACACAGCCACTCACTTACTCATTAGTCTAGTTCTACCTCCTCGTCCCTTTAGGCTAATCACTCTCAATTTGTTTTTCTTTTCTGCCTTCTTACAGCGTACCTAGACCATCTCGGTCTATTGGCACAACTACAAAAGGAACAAAATTATCGATTGCAGTAATTTGTATTTTTATTGTGTTTTATAGATCATAAGAAGGAAGAGCAGGCATGCAATATGGGCATTGCCGTAACCGATTATAAAATGCGCTGCCACTCCTGTGACACAATTATCAAATTGCCGATTGACATGTATTTCTTACCGGGAGAAAATGACGGGGAATACATCTTGAGAGTAGCACCAATGGCACTCACCGACACAGCCAAGCCGATGGACATTCTGTGCACTACTGACCAGGTGAAATACAAAAAACTGGTCACTAAAAACAAATTCGGATCAAAAGGCCCAAAGCCCATGTGCATGTGGTACACACAATGTCTAGAGCCAACATATCCATTTCCCTGAATTTTCCTTCTTTCTTGCTAGTTTTTCTCGTTTTCGACTTCTAATATTCTCCAAAAAAAAAAAAACAATGTTTTTATGTAACGCGATACAATAGCAATATACATTATCTACTCTACAGTACGCAGCACATGTCCTTTCCCAAGCACCTAGTACGCTTAGTCTGGCACGTGAATTACATCAGTGCAAAGCTATTGTTATTTAATTAGGTTCACGCATCAAGTATAGCTTTAACAATATTGTTTTAAGTATAGTATGTGATTTTAATGGTCCCCCCACGTGCAGCAATTATCTATACTTCATCCGACAAGAGAACAGATACCATAACGCGTTCCTTTCTAATTGCGCGGGTGCATATTATGACAGTAAGGGATTTTGGTTTCTCCGCAAGTGCGCTCTCTCGCCGTCCAGAGTATAAAATGATAGATTGTCAAATATATTATTATAACTAAACGTTTTAAACAAGCTGTGGCTATCATGGTTCGTGAATATCTCACTTGGATATCACGGCGACAACCTGTCAATAAAATGTTGGTTATTTCAACCACTCAAGTCATTTTCCTATTAATATGACTCTCTACAAACTTATTTTGCATAAAATAATAAGAAAACCATTACGGTTAATGTAAAAAATATATAATTATGACCAATCGATAACACGTCTTAAATAATACATTTTCGGAATATTAATAGTTATATTTCTTAATACTTCTCATTTATCCAGGCTATAATCTGACATAAATGTTAATTAATTAAAAATAAAATACAATCATTAATATTCTTCAAATATTCTTATTATTATAAAACCTATTAATCGTTTAAGTATTACATTTCATAGTTAAAACTATAAAATAGTAATAATAATTAAGTTCAATAAAAATAGGATATTGTAATTTTAAGATTTTTTTTTTGTTTTATAATTACTTTTTTGTTCTTCGTTTTTACTCCGATGGAAAACCGAAAATGTTGGTAATTCGATGACAACTTTTAATGACGACAAGTTTTATACAGTTTGAAAAATTGTTATTCGGATTACTCACATTTTTATGGTTTAAACAGGATAAGAAATTAATAAGCAGATTTAATTATAATATGGTAGGTAATAAGAAATAAGAAAAATTATATTTTTTACTAAATTAGGCATATATATTTTTATAAAAAATGACATAGGTTTAAATATATTAGGTTAAATTTAAGATAATGTAATACAATTTTTAAAAAAAATTTTATTAGTATTCAGCTTTTAGTTTAAATTAATTACTAATTTAAGGTAAATTTAGGGTAGTAAATATTATTATTTTTCGTTATTATTAATTTAACCATTATTATGCCTCCGATGTTAATCCTTAAATGTTTGTAACACGGACATTTGTTTCCGACAACAAGCTATTTAAGGATTAAACAGGAGGTCAGAACGCATAAGGTCGTGAATTCTATTTTAGAAAATTAAGTCTTCTTCGTTATTATAATAACAAAGACCTGTAATTATTAAGCCAAAGTCATTCTTATTAGTATTATAACTAGGAATAGGAATTTAGTGTTAGTTTTTACAAATAACTTACCTACTTTAAGGACTCTAGTTGTAATATTAAATATTGTTGTAAGTCTAGTTGTAAGATAAGTATTGTTATACTAATACTTCAACTAGGAATAAGACTTAGTAAATAATTGTTTTTTTTATTATTTTTTACTCCGATGGAAAACCTAAATTGTTTGTAGTTTGAAAACGGTTTTCAGTCAAATTTGAGGGCGATATTAAAATAATATGAATGATTGCTATTCGAATTACAAGCATTTTTAGAGTTTAAACAGGAGGAGGGCTGTCGCAAAATTGTATTAGGATTTAAGTATTAATATAAATTAGTTGGTAGTTGTTTATTAGAAATAGGAATTTAGTTTTAGTATATAGTAAGTTTTTTTTTATTACTTTTTTTTTAAATTTATTTTTTGTCCGAGGAAAACTTTAATTGCTTGTAGTTTGAAAAAATGTTTTCATACAATTTTGAGTATTACATTTGAATGATTTGATTTATATTCAAATTACAAGCGAATTATGGTTTAGACAGGATACGAGACACGTACAGAGCACAAACTAGCGTTAAGTTTAATTTTTAAGAAAAAAAATATAAATTTAAAAAAAAAATGTTGATATATTTTTCTTTTGACTAGTTTAATAAAAATGCATACTGCAATTTACATAAATCATTTCGTATAAAATAGTTAATTTTGTTTTTTACTTAATTTCTTTTTCGATTTTTCTTCTTAAATAAAACCTTAATCGTTTAGTATTCGGAAACAATTTTGTAAGCTTTAGGTGATAATACTGTTAAAATAGTTGGTTTCCTAATACAATCGTTTTAAGGTTGAAATCTGAGTTTAAATAGACAACTGTTAAAAAAAACACATTTCTATTTATCAGATTAAAATTATTCCGCTTATATTATTATAAATTTATATTTATTTAAGGTTTTATAATTAATATAGGATATTAGGTTAGTCATTTTTTATTTTTTTTATTTTGTAATTTTTCAATTGTTTTTTTCCGAGATGGTAAACTTTAAATGTTTGTAATTTGGAATCGATTTTCACTCAAATTTGGGAGCGACTGTAAGTATAATTTGAGTGATTGCTGTTCGAATCACAAGCATTTTATTGTTTACACCGGAGGCCAAATGTAAACCCTTAACATAGATTTAAGTTTTAAAGATAAGTATACATAATAAATGTATAAAACATATTTATACATAATGTTTGATAAAATGTATACATTTTATTGAACTAGTCTTTAAGATAACATAATATTAAGTCTAGTTAATTAGGCTAATTTTTATAGTTTTTAGTGAATACATAATATAACTATGATTAACTAGGTATACTATTGTGGCGTTCCTACGAGCCTGGTATTATTTTTTAAATAATATTATATTATATTATATAAAAAATGACACGAGGCTCGTGGAAACGCCACATTATTTTAGTACAGACAATAGCTATTATGAATACCTATACTCGATTAATAGCTCAGCGTCTTAATAAAACTATGTTATCGATTGGTCATTTTTATATATTGCATTTAATACATGCATTGTCCTAACTTAAGGAACGTGATGGCGATATGCTCCCCAGAGTATTTTGCAAAATATTCGAAAATATTAATTTAATTGGGAATCTTCGAAGTTGATCAGGTTACGTTTTTAGGTTTTAGTTTTTATTGGAACAAGTATTTTTTAATTCAATTGGACTGTTTAGGTACCGCTTTGAAAGGACACGTGCTCGTAAATTATATTATACCACACTTATAAATTACCTCAATTATTTGACTGTGTTTTAGTTGTGTATACATTTAAATAAATAACTCAGCTGTGGATAGAAATCAAATTAAAATAATATTATTATAGTTTTTTTAAAAAATGTTCAACCAAGATGTATGCAAATTTGATTTCACTTTAAAAACATTGTTGTTTAGACGACTAATATAGATATTTGATGTACCTATGTATAATCCATATAAAACTGTTAATATTGTATCGCGTTTTTTAATATATATTATAAATTACCTATAATCACCTTTTATCGACTATATACTAGCTCTTATTATAACGTCTAACATGTAGAACATTTTATTGTTATAAACACAGAATTGTATTGCTTAAGACTTTAAATTTTTATCACATTAAAAATATAGCTTTATCGCACTTTTAGATATATGTATAACAAATAAAATAATAGAAAAATTTGTGTAACATCAAGTATACTTTTGCTGTTCAAATCTCAAACACAGTAATTGCTTTTCTGATAATTTTTTAGAACCCGTTTTCTAAGTTATAACAGGCCCAGCGACATACAAATCGTTGTACTGCTACACTCTTTGTAATTTGACCATCCGCAATGGTTCTTATGGTATCAAAAAATTAAAGTCAAACTGATGAAAATGTCGATTACTGTGTTTTAGATTCGAACAACCTAACCGACTTATAGCCGGTAATGATTGTACCTAGCGGCTTTTAATTTTGCTTTATAAAATACATATACAGTTTGCTATTTTAAATAAACTATTACTTATCCAATATGATGTACCTATTTATTTTTGTTCATTACCATATTTTTTCCTGAACACTGTACGTTGAAGAAACAATGAGTAGATAACACCAACAATGTGCATTGCCAATCTCACCTAAAGGTTTTCGTATACATAAATATAATCAGTTTAAAGAAAACGGGCTTATCGTCAATGTTTTATTATGAAAACCTTGCTAAGTTTTTATTGAAAAATTATATAATATAATATAATACTAATCACCCGTTACCGATCGATGTTGGTCTTATTAAAATTATTTATTAGTAAAATTTGTTTTTTCACTAAATTTGAACCTTAAGTAGTATGTTTTTTTGATTTATAAACACATATTTGTTCTGGAATGAATAGCTTCAGAGTTATCAATGATATTCTAATGTAAGGTTGGATAATTTAAAGAAAACACGCACTAAGGAAATTTCTTAAAATTGCCTAAAAAATATACGATTTTAGTTTTTTTTTTATGAGAAAATATACAATCTATAAAATTTAAAGTACAAGTATATGTGATAATATTACACAATACATAGGTATGATACATTTGATAAAGAAGTCACCTATTAGGGACACTTAATTTCGATTATTCTACATTTTGTATATATTTAACTCATTTTATTTATGTATTTTAATTATTCGACTAGTCAGTCACGACATCAGTTGGTTACAAATTATTTTTAAAATAGATACCAACCTAAGTTTTGACATTTAAATCTTAATGATCTATTGTTGTTATATCCGTTAGGCGTTAACCCATGTATTTATTCGTTAACGGTCGGGTAGATAGGTATAGATTTTCTAAAACACTTACTGAAAATTGTGTAAAAATAAAAAAATAACAAAGCCAACATATTATTGTTTTATATTATGTTATAAATTTAAGCCGCATCAAATTAAAAAAAACAATATGGTAGGTAAACCGTAAATTTAAAAAAATATTCCATAACACAAAGCTCAAAATGTCGTTTTGTATACTGTACCAAGTAAATAATTATCATTTAAACGATTATTTTAATGATACTATCAAAAATCTCGTGTATTTCATCATTATCAATTTTTGGACACTCTCTACTACACAAGTTGGTCAAGCAAAGCAAAAATTAATTGGTGTAGTTAAGCACAGACAAGTATACAAACAAACTGCAAAGCGCCGCCCAAAAATGTACTATAAAAATATGTAAACTTAAATGAGAAAAATAGATGCTATCAAATTTAAGTGTAGTTTACATATCACTATTCACTATTAAACTTTTATGACCACCACGGCAGCTTATGACTTGCAGTTTGAAATATAAACATAGATAGTCCACCTGCACATGAAATCCGGCAACCGGATTGTAATCTTAAATCTACGTGTATTATACTTGTGTAATACAAATGTATTCAAATAATATACTATTATAATAATAAATAAATTATACTATAATATTATACCTACACGGTGACCATAGTGACGTTTCGGACGAATGTCGGACACGGGGCGAATTGTCACCATAGCCATTTTGATAACGCGATGCCGGTCGCGTAATAACATAACGTTTATTTTAATGAATATATTTTTAATACATTTTATTTTTTTGTTATATTTTTTTTTTTAACGAACCGGTACGTACCGCAACACATTGTCTATATCCGCCATGGGCCTTACCTTAGATAATAATTTATATTTTGAACCGTATCAATAATAATATTGTCAAGTGAAAAACATGTATCAAAAACCACATTGGCTTACACGTTCGGTGTAGAATTGTCCGTTACGGTTGTTCGTAGTGCAATTGTCGGTTTTGTCGCCAGAAACTAATTCAGATGACAGACGTTACGATGTTCACAGATGACGACACTTTGCTACACGAGTGAGTAAATAATTATATACATTGTTTGTTTTGTTTGTGGTGCGTCGAAAAGTTTCAAAAACGAAACGGCCTCTATTGTAAATTCTATTTTTAAATCGTTAATTACTGAAACTCGTATTTAGGGTAAAAAAAAAGATGGTCTATGTAATATTAATTAGTTATTTGTTTTGCATACCTACCTCGACTTTATGGCCACACCGCCAATGTCAACCAACCCTTAAAGACTTTTGAAAATCAATACCTAACCATTCAAATGAAAACATAAGTAATTTATATACATTTCTAAAATGTAAATTCTACTAGATTTAGGAATAGAGAATAACTTTAGGATCTCTATAAATCTCAAACCACAAGCTTCCGTATAAGACATGCTCAGTCTTGACCAGCCGTATAAGCGAGTGGCTTAAACATTTTTAAAGAAAGTTAATACAATTATGTATAACACTGCACATATTCATGGTTTCTCTAGCTATCCAGTTCTCTTTTGAAACTCTTCCAATGTTGTGAAAACAATGTTTTGTGGTATTTTCAAACCGTTTTGTAATTAAGATTTAATAATATGCTAAAATTCTTTAAAATAAAGGTTTTTTATTCTATTTGTTTTTTGTTTTTAGAAGGGTTATTAAAATTAAAGTAGAATGTATAGTTTTCTATGTTGTTTACATTTGTGGAGGCGATTTAATAATTTACTTATAGAGTAACATCTGAGATCAGATTTAGAATCAATGTAATTTTAGTTTTGTTCCAAAAAAAAGGATAAATTTTGAAGTAGAATACAATATAATATTTTATCTTTTTTAGAACAAATACCAAATATGCACATATATACATATTACATATACACATATACAATTTATACACATTTTAAATTTTCTAGCATGATGCAATAATCATTAATTTGGTTTTTTTTTAATTCAATATAATTTATATGTACTTATTGCAAAGCTGTGAAGTAGATTTCACAATTTGTAACACACTTTAACATACATGTGTACCTATACTTAACGAACCCGAATCTAAACGGTCTGTGTATTTAAAGTTTGAATATCCATGTATATAAAGCTCTGATAGCTGTGTAAAATTATAATAGTGTTTAATATTTGAATAGTCTTGTTTTAAATTATATACCTATTATGTTCTTTGTAGAAATAAGTTCAAAAATTAAAAATTAGTTTTATTAATTTATATGTACTGGGTTCCAAAAGAGAAGACACCAGTGTTGTAGTTTCTACGCTGGTGTCTTATATTAGGTATGTAGGTAAATACAAGGATTACAAATGTTAATATACCTTTACGCAGATCTTAAAAAAACGGATACACATGTACTTTAAACCCGTTTAAAAAAAACAAAGCATTGTATTAGTAATATACATTTTTTTAGTTAGGAATGTTTAATGGTTTTTAACGACACTTGTATTTTGTTTTATAGAATTGATAACTTCCTTGCTGAATACGCATCCGATGGTGCCGAGAAGTCTCCTTTACATATTTCACCTAAAACTCACATAGTAAGTGCTTGATTTAAACTTCTAATATTTCAATTATATTATACTTCATTACACATTTGTTTCATAATGTAATACATGACATTTTATTGTATATTCATTATGTATAATATTTATTCTTAGAAAATACTGATGTATGTATATTTATGTTGGTAAATTAGGAAAACAACAATGTCCAATCCACAGAAGAAAGTCCTCAAAGTGAAATACAGTTTATTGGGTAAATTTGTGTTTTTATTTTATTATTAGTTTGACTATATCTTAGATGAATACTATTCATCTCACTGTAAAATTTTAGTAAGAAGGAAGCGACATTTGAAATTTTGGAAGATGATGAATACGGTTTGTACGAACATGATCCGTACCAATGCAACTGGAATGTGTTCTACAAACCTTTGTGTCCAGTAAGTAATTGATAGTCATTAATAACAAATAGTAATGATTTGTCAATGCTATTAATTCCCATTATTATTATTATTTATTTACTTAAGTTTTAATAAACGATTTGTCAATTGCAGGAAATGCACGCCGCTAATGTAAAATTAGAACAACGTACGTGTTAACATACATAATAAATATTTTAATAAATTGTAAAAATAAAATACTGCCTGTATAATTATTATTATGACTGTTGTTTGTTTATATTTAGAATGCACAAAAATGAAGCAGGAAGAAATTGAAGAAAATCTCATTCATACATTTTCATTTAAGGTAACAATTATTTTATTACACTATTTTATAACCATAGTAGAAACTAACAAATGTGGTTACTTTTGGACATTTATTTAAATGGTTATTATAGTAGTGTTGATAACATTTGTTCAATAAAAACATTTTTTTTATTACTTGAATACCTAGTTGTTAGGTATACATTTTAAATAATTGATCATTAACAAATAAGTTTATAACATGAAAACTAGGTAATCGACAATTTTAATATAATCTGTAACTGTTCATACCACGAACAATCAATTAATTTTCTATTTATAGATTTTTTTGTTAACTCGAGAAGTTAATCAAAATAATCAATATGAATCAAATTAATTTATATGAATTTCGATTAATTTTAAAAAATCTCACAGCCAACCAGTGAAGAACCATTCATTAATAATGTTCAATGCTCCAAACCTGATCAATGTCAACAACTTCGCCAAAGTCCGCAGGTAAATATAAATAATAAAAAGTCATCACATTGATAATTATAAATTGGTCCAATGTTTTTTTCAGTTTAAAGTAATAGAACCCATTGACTTGCCTCCTCCACCATACGTTTGTTTACCTGAAGCAGATTTTAATGTCAATTACATTAAAACAAATAACATGGCACCTCTAGGGTGCAATCAGGTATTTGAAACGCAAGCTATCAAAAAGTAAATCATATTTAACAGTTTATTTTCTTTCAGCTTACAGAAAGAAAACCTCCACCGCCCCCTTTTGTTTTGCTCAGCGATCACACAGAATCTTTTAATGTAAACCTAGTAAGTGTAATGTTTGTATTTTGATTTTTCAACGGAATGACTTAACTACAGAGTTTTAAGAAATTTTAGTACTTGTTTTTTTTTATATATATTTGTATTTCTTTTTTGATGTTTAGAACATTGATTTACCGCCTCCGCAGACTGTGTTCAATACAAATTCATTTGAAAACCACCTTAACAATAATTTAGAGGCAGAACAAAGTATCGAGTATAATACAATTCCAAATTGCCAGGTACAAATTTTCTCATGTTAATTCAAATAAAATTAATTATTAGTTAGTAGTTAGAAATACTTATACAGGCAAAAATTATTCTTTGTTGTGTCAGTATTCATAAATATATTTTGATATCTTTATTTTATCTTAATTTTTGAAAACAACGACCGAAATAATTTTGAAATTATAATCTCCCATTAAAATTTATTTTAGAGTTTTGCGGCGGGGCCACAACCCAGGACATCAAACATATCGGGTATAGTGAAAAGTATTGCTGAAAACACCAGAGCAACACCACCACAGTTTAAGCCAAGGAGTTCACCTCCTTGTGAAACACCTAACTTTCCGTTTTTCCAACATCAACTTCGAGGAATTCGTATGGAGATGAAGAGGCCACAGATCAAAACCTTCATTTCACCACCCTGGAATGGAATGAGAGGTACCATTAGCTGTTATTCTCATTAATTCGTCCATAAAATATACAATATGATGTATGTGCATAATTTTTCCTCCCAGGAAGAGGCGACTTTCATAGGAATCGGTTACCTTTTATTTCCAAACACAACAGCCTATTAAATCAACGTGCGAAAAAAATAAAAACAGCAGCTCCCCGTTTAATGTTTTCGTCGTTTAGACTTCAACCTCCAAAGCGTCGTCCTCTTCAGAATGGTAATTTGGGTCATCAACACACCACTCCATTTCTGCCTACAGTTACACCTTCAACATTTAGCGCCGTCACAAAAACACATCAGCAAACATATAACCACCTTTTGCCAATCACTAACAATCCAGCGTCTTGCATAAGACCCACCAAACCTACTCACTTTCCCAAAACCAACATGCAAGGGATACTCGATTTTGACCCAAACATGGACATTGCCAATCACATGATCAAAGACGTGAGTCGCCTATTAATTATTGTTGCTAAACACTCGTCAATAAACAATTATGAATATTATTAAGGGTACAGACAAACTTTAAGCATTATGTTCCAAAACTATTTTGATAAAGCCTCCAATTTTCCATATTAAAATTAGTGTAATTTTGTAAAACAAAAACTTGTGACTTCTGTATTCTTCTAAATGTTTTAGAATCCAAAAATATTTGTGAATTCGAATTTTGGATGTATAACCTTTGGATTTTTTCAGTATTTCACATTACAGATTATGTTTTCTATGAAAAATGAGATTATAGTGACATTATAATGAGCTAAAAAAAGTTTCAAGTAATCCCTTATCATATATTATAATGATAATAAAACATATATATATATATATATTTTTTTTTTTAATTGCCTAAAGGCATTTATGTTTTAAAAAAAAACCTTTTTAATATAAATCAAAGGTGTTCATACATATATTCGAGTGATATTTAAATAAATATATATATTTGTATGGGGATGAATTAATAAACCACAACACTTTATTTTTTAAAACCTAACTGAAGCATTCCAATATTGTTTTTCATTGTGCATTGATTTTTTTATTAGTATCTGTCTCCCGTATCGCTGGTAGGAGGAACGATTAAGTTTGAATCTCGAAAATTAGCCAACACGGGAGTGCGAGAACAATTGGAAAGAGCATTTAAAATACACGGCGCATTAACGGTTAGTGCGATCATTGATTAAACAACAATATATTCAATCAATGGTGCAATTACGACAATAAGTTATATGAATGAGCTCAATTCTATTATTTTTAAACTTTGTTATTTGTATTTTGTTTTGATTTTTTATAGAACTCCTGGTGGACGCCAGACGATATGCTGTTTGTGACTTACAGTGATAGGAATATTGCAAAAAAAATTTATAGTTTATATCCCGTAAACAAAAATAGTTCATATTGATCCGTTTTTATTAATATATATTTATATATTTTTAGTATTGTATTGTTAAGAGTACATTAGTCATATCGTTGACTATATTGTTGTACGGTTTTAAGTTGTTTATTTTTTAAGTATATACATTTAGTACAAACATAAGCTTCAGTTTGTCTTGTTTCATTTGTTAAATGTATTTTTAATATTTACATGTGTTTTTATGATATTATACTATAGTTATTTTAACAAGATAATTTACAGTTTGCCAACTAACCGAATTATTAAAGAAAAATCTAGCGCAAATATTTTATTTTATAAAATTAATATGATATACTAAAATCAATAGTTTTTATATTTACTTGTATGTATGTTCTTAGTTAGTTTAAAAGAAAAAACGTTTTGTTTGAACAATTAAAAAGTATTGTTGATGTTCTTTTAAAATTTATTGTAATAAAAGAATAGTGTGCAGTGTAATTTGTACACAATTTGTTGTTAACCTAATACTACTCTATAATAATTTTATCGATTGGCTAATGCACTAATAAATGATTTTTGTTTTTGTTTACCTATTATAAGCTCTTATATTATGCTTAATCCCAAAATGACATATAACTTAACCCTAAAGACCTAAATTGTATAATATGCATATTATTATCAGAATATGTACCTATTCCCAAAAAAATTTAAAAAAAATGAATTTCCAGGTAAATTGAGAAAGTTACTCTTAAATGTTCAAAATGCTGGTGATCTTAAAACAGTTATTTGTGATAAAATCTTCTACAGATTGTCATAGCACTTAGACTTGAATAAATTTATTGAATATTTCAATAGTGTACGTTTTTGAATTATTATTTAAATGGATTATTCCAAAATGCTGATAAACGTGAACAAATATCCCCTGTCGTAAGTATTTGGTTTTCTACAAGTTTTATTTGAAATTTCGACCGATTAAACAATACAAATTTGTATTATAACAAATTATTAGGTTTTTTGTGTAAACGGCCTTTTTTTGTGCTCAGATGAAAAAAAAAATTGATTAACATTTAGACAAACTGTTTAATCGGATTGATAACAGGTCTCTACTGTTAACACATAGTTTTCATTTAGTCATAAATTTCACTACACCCAAATTTATAGGTTCATATTACGACAAAAATGTACGTATAACTTATAAGTACCATCATGCGAACACAGTTTAAGCTTTGGAATTTATATAAATTAAGAGTTCCAAAATAGAAATAATAAAAAACCAAAATTGAAATATATAGTTGTTGTTTTTTTTTACTTCAGACCGAATCTTTAGCGAAACGGCTTTTAAGTATTAGCTCTCAATCAATATAATTTTATTTTCTTCCTGTTTACTATGCTTTTATATAAGCTTCGTTATTTATTTGTTCACGACTGTAATAAGACCAACGAACAGTGGGAGGAAATTTACTTTAAGCGTGACAAAAATAAATTTGATAATGATATATTATTACAATACAATAAAAATATTTATTTTTTTACTCATGACTTTTAATTGACAAATTATAGCGATAAAAAAGTTATAATAATTATATTAATAATATCTACCTATAAAATAATGCACTATTCAAATACCTCAGTGCATTGAATAAATCATGGTATGTCATAAATATAAAAATATAAAGAAAATAAGCAACTTTGAGCAGACCAAAGTTTAGTGTCTACTAAATAGTATATTTACATAAAACATTTAAATACAAATCTAGTCACTAATTTACGTCTTTTTTCCTCGGATCAATGAAATTATAAAATTATATTTTTTAGTTATATCTTAAATTAAGTTTTATCAATTGTTTGTAAATTAAAAGGCTGTATAAATTATTATAATCTGTAACATAATTTATACAGCCTTTTAATTTACAAACAATTGATAAAACTTAATTTAAGATATAACTAAAAAATATAATATTATATATTATATATATATATATATATATATATATATATGATTGACACTCACTTCACGATGAAAGGCTAATAATAAATAAGTATTTACTGGGTAGGTATGATCTTTTTTTTTATATACATATAGGTATACATTATTTTTGTCACGGTTAACTCCCACTGTGCGATGTTAGCATAAAGATGCGAAATGAATTCCACAACGATTAATTTCAAACGATTACATTCAAACACCAATTTTTGAGAGCAATATGTTGACCGATGTAGGTACGAACGGGAGAAGGAATGAGTTCAGACTTAAGTATCAAAAAAAAGTTAAATATATCAATAACTGTTTATTTTCATTTATACATTTCGGCTAAAAAAGGCAAATTTTGCTACAAAATGCCTCACAGACAATAATGAATAAATTACCGGGAAACTAATTCCCGAAAGTATAGTTGTAATAAATTTGATAAAAACCTCCGCATAATAATTACTTATTTTGGCCATGTTCCGCGTTTTTTCAGTGAATAAGTGTATTCCGTTTTCCGAAGCAATACTTTGAATATTTTTAATTGTCAAACCAACGGATTTCCTACTTTCTACTTTGACGTCGTCAGAATGGCAAAGTTGTTCTAACATACCCTTGCTGGTTTGTATGTTTTTATCGATTGACTCATTAGTTAGTACGTCATTCTTTCCTATGTAGCTAAATAAATCCGTATGATTAAATTGTTCGTTGTATAATTTCAGTCCATCAGTATCTTTTAATTTTAAAAATTCCTTAAATAGATTGTACATTTTCGAATTGACCCAGAATCGGTTATGTTTTGATAGCTTTCTGAGTCCTTTTAAGTGTTGCATACGTATCTGTATCATTATCGCTACCAACAAATTGATAAAATTCCAGTGAACAACGTACAGCGCTTCGATATACTCCGCTAATGACGACTTAGGATCATTGATCGTGTTAAATTTAGAGATAAATACATTTTTCAGAACGTTTCCATTAGCTATCAGTCCAAATTTCGACGTCAGGGTATCCATGATATGGGCATTTCCTATCAGGTTGGTTAAACACAGTTTTTCCAAACCAAATAATTCCATGTGTTTTAAGTGCATGCCGTTATAAACGTTTGATTTTAAATTTTCAAAAGCGCTTTTAAAGTTTATCAACAATTTTGACAGATTAGTTTCATTGCTGGGCATGTCGCGAATATATGATTCGAAGGCCGGCTTGGCGGTACCTTTCAAGTCGAACAAATCAATGCATTTGTTCATTTCGTTCAGTAGTATATGCTTAGTGTTTTCGTGAATATTCAAAATTGCGTTTCTCGTCTCGTTACGTTCTTCACGTGCCAAGTGTGCATCCATCCTATACGTGTAAAAACGGAAAACCCAAAAAATATCCACCATGTGTCTTAACCTGGGAATATTGTAAATAGTGACCAACATTTTCTTTGACCATTCCTGGAACGAATACAACTTGGAATACTGGAGTAGCGTGTCAGGTTCGGTAATTATGAGTGGCTCACTCAGACGGACGTGCGATGCCATGTAAAACAAATAATTGCATCTAATATGGCGGCCGACTCTAAAGACCATTTGTAGTAAATATTCCTCGTCACAACTATCGAGAGGTAAGTAAATTTCAGGAATGCTTTCGAAATAACCTTTGTTGATTTTTTTTAGCAAAACATAGTCGTTTATTAATTCTGTTTTGTTTTCACATTCAATTAAGATCGCGCTAGTTAATACGAAACAAGCGAGAACAATAAAATAACGTTCGATAATAATTAACGACATATTTTTGTAAATCGCTCAATAACAACTCTAAAACACAAGACCAACCATCCAGGTGTATGAATTGAATTTTGTATCGAAAGAAAACGCAGTAGAAAACATTAGTATGGCGTATGTATGCATTATATGTGCGTAGTACCTACTAGGAAAACTCATTTTTATGTAAATATATTTTGTCCTGAGTCATGTTTGTACAGTTGGCTGTTGGTCAAATAAGTAACGGGCCCGATTCTAATAGTAATATGACATAACGTCATGAGAAACCAAGACATTTTTGAACCGCGCATAAAAAGATATTAATTTTTTTTATCAAATTTGCAACTTTTTTTTGTCTACACGCTATTCAATTTTTACTTGTTTTTGATTAGCGTTAAAATTACTCTGATGTACATGTTTTTGTATCCCATAACTTTGGAAAATACCAAATAATTTCTTAAAAAGAAAAAATGTTTTCAAACGATAATATTTATTTATTTAAATTATTACAAATAAATAACATGGTTTGTGTAAACCGTTTACTTTATCAAACACACTTAAATTTCTAGAAACGTTTGAATAAAAAAAAAAAACAAACGTAGTCAATTACTAAATTGTTCTAAAAAAATTATATTTAACTCAACAATTCTGAGTATTTTGTAGATATTCCATTATTATTTTTTATGAATATTTTTTTCATCATCATATACCTACAACCTATAAAGTTAAAAAGGTATGAAATATCTCTCTTATGATTCCATAAAAATGTAATATTATTAAATAAATAATAAACTAGACTTATACGATTTTTATTAAGGCGAAATTGGTATTATATTCTTAACAATTTTTCATGCATGATTCCTGTGTTTTTATTAATTGTATTAACAATACCTCTATAATATTTTCAATTTATAAATTACAATTTTAGGTTGATAAATAGTAATTTATTCAACATAGTAACATCATGTATAATGTGCATTTGAATTATGCCAATATTTGTAATTTTTTTTAACAAATTTTTTTATGCCTATTTGATGTTATGAAAATTTGGGTTATTATCCGACCTGCAAAAAGTTTTCCCCTTTCAAATAAAACAAAAAATTATTAAAATCCAACACGTCTCCAAGGCGTGAGAGTTTTTCCTGCTTGCGAAAAAACACAAGCTATGCTCTTTACATTTTGAAGGTAAAATGTTCAACAACTTTCAAAAAAATAGGGTTTTTCAGCTTTTTTATATATTTAAGGGGGGGGGGGTATGGTTAATTCGTGCAAAAAACGGCAAATTTTTGTGAATTTTTTTTGACGACACAGTTAAAATTTGTTTATTAAAAATAATGGTACATTAAAGTATAACATTCGAAGAATATTGTGTAATATTTTCATGTAGAAATATTAAAAAATACGGCAATGGCGGCAATTATTCGGAAGCGTCTCAGAAAAAAGTAGAATTGCGGTGCCCCTCATAACTCGATGCTGGATCATCTGAAATTAAAAAAATCAAGTTCTTTCGTTAGATAATTGCTTTCCCCAGGTAACGCTGGGAGGGTTTTTTGAAATTTCAATTTTTCACTTTTTGGGAACACTTTGAAGGGAAAAACGCGATTTTTGCGAAAAAGAGCGGCTAATTTGTTATTGTAAAATAAAAAATATTAACAAATTTGAAAAAAAACTCTCCAGCGTTACCTCGTTAGTTATTTACTGAAATAGTGTTCAAAATTTCAAAAGGATCGGTGCAGTAGTTTTGAAGTTATGGTTGTCACCGACTTTGAAAACGTGAGTTGTGGGAAAAACGCTTTAAAGTTAACGATAGTGCGCTCGGGCCGGGCAGCTATAAAATTCCGACAACTCATAACGTCGTCAATTTTGTTCCGATCGACTTGAAATGTTGACACAATATTCTTGAGATATTATGCATTCAGTAAACAAAAAAAAAATTTAATACCCTACCCCCCCCCTTAATTTAAATAACTACCTTCTTATGTAAGGTTTATATTATATATATATGTTACACACCAGAGGTGAAATTGTCCAATTCATGAAAATTAAAGTGGACAATTTATTCTGTGGTTATTATCTATAAGCTGTGGTTACATTATCATTTTTCCTTGGTGACCGCGGTAACCAGCGTCCAGTAACCAGTCCGATTGGTATAGAACTGCGTCGGTAGCCGAGGGTCACGTGCTCCGTGTGTTATCAACGGCTTGCGGTATCGCTTATCAGTTATCGCCGGCGGCCGTTGACAGTGTCCGGACTATTATATTGGTAAACTTAATGCGGAACGCCATATAGTCACTGTAGTTAGCCTTAAAAAATATCCTCTTCGATTAGATCGTGTGTTCATAGGACAAGTCCTCTATTATGATTATTTTCAAGACGTGTAGGACGTTCGCTTGCTTAGGTACTGCCGCTGCCGCCGGCATCCGACGGGGAACTCCAACGGACGACCTGAGCGGCGGTAGCCCCCAGACGGCTGTCCCGACGCAACAGCAACCGTGTCGTACTTGCACAGACTTCAGAACGTTCGCCATGAGTCGACGACAGATGAGTGATGATAACAACGTCAGCGTTCGAGATCAACGTTCAAAGGTGAGACGAAAGACCGATTCGGCCGAAGTAGCTTCTAGCTGGTATCTAGTTCCACTAAACTTTTTTTGAGTTCAGCTCACGGTTTAGATGTCATCTGCTGATTATATCATGGAGCTTAAAGGCCCAATGCCACCATCATGATATGGTTTCTAGATAAATTTTCTCCAGGCAGATCGTCAGTCCTTGCCCGGAGTGGAGCAGGGCGGCTTCTTTTTACCAGACGATATATCACTCGGCAAACAGAGCATCTGTGACTGAGTGTAAAACCGGCAACAGTGAGTGCTAAACACACTGATGCCTTACCCACTCGGCCACTCCCCCTTCTCTTATCCGCTGATTACCGTATGTTAATTATTTTCAAATTGTAGGTGCAAGCTGAAGATCTGAAGAGAGGAGACGACTGTCCACTGGACAAGGAAGAATTGGGTAAGTGTCTAGTTGTACCGACAGATGTATTGACCAAAACCCGTCTCGAGTGTAATTAGGATATATCTGGGACATCACTCAACTCACCTTTAGGTGAGGTAAATCACTTATGGATCGGTCAAACAGAAATCGGACGTCCGTGCGGACAGGGCGCTGGTCCGCCGCGGACTCTGTACTCTATTTAAATGCATCATTCTGGTTAAACAGACAGCAGCCGGCGGACTAGTATAGTCCGCCGCGGAAAAACGGATGGTTGTATTTTTTCACAAAGTTCGCGGCGGACTGGAATAATTTTGTAAAATAAAAAATATTTAATATAGACAATACACTGGATTTTCCACACGTATCAGCACTTCTAGAATATTATTATAATGTAATTATCGAACATAATATATACAAACAATATTGATGACAACATATTGTACTTAATTTAAAAATTTTTTTCATTTTAAAATTGTGCACTGAAAATGATCAATGAAATGGAACAATTGATTGATCTAGTTGGAGAATGCGTTTATTTGTATGATACGCGGCATCCACTGAAAAATGGACAGTTTCGGCTAAAGACTGGTATCAACACTTCACAAAAATGTAAAATTGAATAAAATTTTTTAGCCGAGTCTGCAACTACGAAAGAGCATTTTCATGTCTCGTTGAAGTACCAAATTAATTTAAAGTAGTGGTGGAATATAGATAATCATAGATAGATATAGTATGATATATAGAATGATATACTATATTAACAAGCAGTAACAAGCTAATATCTAAGGTGGTTAGTATATTAAAACATCAAGTTTCTGGCTAATATTTTAGTGTTTAAAATCTGGCTTAAAACAATTCATAAAAATATGACCTCTTAAATTATTCAACTCAATTTAGTTCAGTTCTAGTTTGAACGTTGAGAATACAGCATAGTCGGTGAAACTCCCCAAATTATTTTCTTTTTTGATTTAGTTCATGTACCCATTTTTTTTTCTTCGTCTTGCTTGACTCAAGGCAAGCAGAAGAAGCAATTCTTCTTTGTCAGAAGAACTGCTAGACATTTTGTAAAAAAAAATGAAAACAGAAAACGTGAGATAAAAAAGTGAAAAATAAAAAACAACCAGCAGTACACTCTTGGTTGTGGCAATTTTCACACTGGTTTGCTCAAACTTGTCCGCATTCTGTTTGACTATCCTAGTCCGCAGCGGACCAGCGGACTAGTTGGACGGACATGTCCGCGCGGACAGTCCGCTTTCTGTTTGACCGATCCTTAAGGGCTCGGATGTTGCTGCACTAAAAATCACATTTTAAATTGGTTTATAATAAGTCAATTGCATTCAAAACAATTTTTTTTGAGAATTTGTTGTTGTCTTAATTTTAATTTATTTAATGTGTTACTTACATAATGTTTTGTAGTTCATTAAAATTCAACACGTTATGTTGCTCAAAGGTCTGTTTGATTTATTTGACTAAATTAAAATTACTCCAATAGTGTGTATAATAATATTTGTTTTGCATAAATTAAATTTATATTAAACAAATACATAATAAATTAGTTCTAAAAAAAACATTCAAACGCAACAACATCCTAGTCTTATTAACCAAAAATAATCTGTACACAAACTCATGATCTCTTGTCGTCTAGGACGCAGCACGTGGAACCTGTTGCATACGATTGCGGCAACGTACCCAAACAACCCTAGCGCCAAGAACAAATCGGATATCCAACAATTTTTGGTGTTGTTGTCGCGTGTCTATCCGTGCGAAATATGTGCTGATGATTTTGCTGAAATGTGAGTATACCCGGAGTAATTTCATTGTAGAATTACTATAAGATTTTAAGTATAAAACAGAAGTATATCTTTGTCAAGGTCTAAAAGTTTAAGATAAATTTGACAGATAACATCGATATAGTCAACCTTTTTTTCAAATATTAAACTAGAAAGCCGAAATGTTTAACATATGTGGAGTTATATCTAAACTCCAATCAACACAAAATAAACTGTAAATTTCAGATGTTCAATATATTAAGAGAAAAAAATGTCTGTAAAAATTAAACCTTTTTACCTATTCACCTAATCACCACCAAATTTTAATCAGTTCATCTAGATAACCAAATAAACATATTATTACAATTTTAGGGAAAAATTTAAATCTGCATAGTCGTTATCAAAGTTCATAGGAATTGCACAAGCAAACAAACACACTTCCACAGACAAAATGTCAAGTCGTTCTATTTTCTATTACAATACACATGATCTTAAACCGTAGCATTCTCTATAATGAAGCAAAAATCTAAATATCAAGTTATTTTTACATTAAGTTGACAAAAATTCAATAAAAGTTGTATGCTTACTATTATTGTAAGTAGACAACGCTATTTGGTTTTTACAAGTCAACTTGTCACGGCCGTGCTTGAAAAAATTTACTTTGCCTAACCTTTTGTGTCATTCAAGTTAAGTCGATATCATATCATTTCAATCAGAGTGCCAAAGAAGTTGTCAAGTTTCACTAACTAAAAGCCCTTTTATTTGTATTTTATACAAAGATAAAATATAGTTTTTCTAAGAAAAACATTATGACTTGCAAATTAAAATGCTTTGATCATAAAATAATAAAATCTAAGATTGGTGATATTTAAAAATATATATTTATGTACATAAATTCACTTTATATGTTTACGCTAACATGGAGTGTCCATGGCATTTTCACTTTGAGATATTGTAATAACATAAATTATAAATTATTTTGTTAAACTGAGTGCGTATTAAAAAAAAATAATCATTTAAGCTTCTTTTTCTTTTTGAAACTAAGAAAAATTTAGTCAAATTTTTTTTATTATGAAAAACAAAACAATTCTTTTATAATGATATTTATTTTAGGTTCGTGATTTATCTACACTTCTGTTAAGTTAACCCGTTGTAAGAAGGTTACGTATGTAATTTTTTTTTGGTTTTTTCACAGATTAGTGCACTGTCCTCCCAAGACGGATTCACAAGAATCGTTGTCGCAATGGGTGTGTGAAGTCCATAATATGGTCAACAGAAAGCTGGGCAAACCCCAGTTTGACTGCACCAAGGTGATGGAACGGTGGCGTGACGGCTGGAAAGACGGTCGCTGTGATGGCTGATGCACCTTCCTTCTTATGAGTACCTGATAGACGACTAGTGACAAGTTTTAGAGTTGTCTTATTGCCAAGTTACCCTGTAAATAATCTTAGTATTTTGTTAGTTATATTTGTTATAATTATTTTTAGTTTACTTAACTTAGCTCAATACAAAATGATATCACACATTTATAATGCTAAATGAATATTTTATTTTTTGCCCTTTTTTTTTAAATGTAACAAAATGGATAGTTTTTTTTGTTGTGATTAATTATATAATATTATGATAATTTACACAGCTTAAGTATCTCGTAAATTTTGATTGTTATATTTTGTACAATGATGTTATTTTGTGTTGAAAACCGAAATTATAAATAAATTTAATTTGTTAATATCGTTTTTAATGATAACAATAATCCATTCACGGAAGTAAATTCCAATTTATTGTTTTCTCAAATGAAAGACTTATTAAATATTATTCCACCACTATTTGTAAAGAACATTTCTAAAAATCATCTTTATTCATGTTATGTGAGAAGTGAGAAAATAATAATAATATGGAAAATAAAACTGATTATGAATAACGATAATCAACATAGAATTTACACTCGTTTCAGTCTATTAGTACGTGGCTACATAAGCACATAGCCGCCCAAGAACCAAGAGTTTTCTCCTCCAAAAGAAAATGGCAGATTTCAAGAAATAACAAGACATTAAAATGGTTACAAAAAGTATATATAAAAAAACATTACTACCTATAGAAAAAAAGTACATAAATATCAATAAATTCTTAATTAAAAAAATAACTTTTAGTCACTGTCGTCGTTATGTTGTTGATAATTTCGCCTTTTCAACTTTTTTGGTATAAAGCTGGCGTCGTCATCGGCACATTGCGTATCGTTAGTATTTGCTGTTAGAATTAAGTGGTCAGCACCTAAAAAAAATAAAAATAGTACCCATTAAATATAAAATAACTAACTATTAGAAAATCTATAATATCTTTCTTTCTTGGTTAACTAATAAATGTATACATTCATTGTACTTAAAACAAATAAATATTATAAAAAAAAAATAATGTTGAATAAATGAATAGTTGACAAATAAGCATTAAAGTAATATCAATTTTTATTGTAGGATATAAACTCGATTACTAATTTGCTAAGTCGATAGTGCATAAGAGTCAATTAAATAGAACATAGAAAATATAGTGAGACAATTTTTATGACAAAATAGAGCTGTTTTTGATTCTAGATTAAATTTTAAGAGTTCTGCTAGCATTCAAATACAACAGTTAATTACCTCCAGACAGATCTAGTGCCTTTACAGGTACGGTTTTTGTAAGTACGTCGTTGTCACTTTGGTCTGCTAACTTTGAAGGCACCAGCTGTTCCGATGATACATTAACGGGCTCTGGCAAAACCAACGGCAGCGAGGTGTTGTGGACAGGAGAACATTGCTTAGCGTCTACCAAGTTGCTTTTGGGCTCCGGCAATACCAATGGCATGGAAGAGTTAAGAGCTGTACAAGATTCTTGTTGGTCTATAGAATCGTCTTTGATTTGGCCCGCCAATAGAGACGAGCTGCTGATATCATCTTCATTGCGACCGGTAGAATTGATGAAAGACGACGAAAACGTTGAATCCATGTTGGTGAAACTGGTGCTCTTGGCCCATTGTCTTCCGGTGACCAGTGCCAGAGGGTCGTCTATGCCGAGCAGGTCACATAGCCGCCGTGTTTGAGGGTTTGCGAAACTTTTGTAGGTATCACAGGGGGCGAAATTTTCTGGTATGGTCAAGTCACCGTTTTCAAACAATTTGAGAACGGCAGATTTCTCTTCGTCTGTCGGAGTGAAATCCCACCTAGAAAATCAAAGGAATATTGTGAAATCAGACATCAGGGCTAATAGGAAGAAATTAGTTGAAAACAATTATCAAAATATTAGGGAAACAGTGTTTTTGGTTCATAAAATTGGATAAAAATAAAATAAAAAATACTGCTTTAGTACCAGGAACAAGTTTATTGTTGTTGTTAGGATAGGAAAGGTTTCAATGACATAACCTTTTCTAACCAGTTGACTCCCTACCAAATAAACTGTTTATGGTTAAACATTTAAATAAAATTTGTTAATTGGGGGCTTACACAAATCTCTATTGTTTATTACCTTTCATTCATCAACGGTCCAGGGGATGGCAAGTAGTAGATGTTTCTGTATACATTCAATAAATGGTTGGTGAGTCGTAACACAGTAAGCCATTCTAAATCATAGCTTAATTTGATAGGCTTAGAAGCATCGTGAGGGATATCCAAGATCTGTAAAAACCGCCTTCTTGGCAAGCACTTGTCTAGCGATAGAAACTTGGTCAGCTTCTTGACGCCATCAGGGCAGTCCTGTGGAACATAATAATGGTATAAATAATGCAATGCCGATTATTAGACCTGACGAGTTAATTTTGAAAGAATTTTCAATGAGTATTTTGCAAAAATATAATATAGTATTTAAAAAGATGTCGGGTTAACTAATAAAATATTTAATAAGCTCTTTATTGTTAATTATTTAACAATGTTGCTTAAAACTCATGGCCAGGATTAGGATTATATTACAACTGAAACGTTTAAATCAGTTCAATACAGTTAAAAGTATTGTATAGATTATAGTGGAAACTATTAAATGTATTAATAGCAACTGAGTTATTACGCTAGTAGTATGGTCCACAATGGCGGCGTACTTGCAGTGCAGATGGGCAGAAAACCAGTACGGAGGTTGAAGGGTGTACAACAACTCGGCTGCTGGCGGACTGCCCAGCCTATTTTCCCTTATATCCTTCCTGAAAAATGATCAAGGTAAACATACTTTACTCAACAACACGTTCTTTATGCCTTTAAGCATTTTAAATAGAATTGAATCGGATAGTATTTCAGTATTTTACTATAATAAAATAACTTGTCCCGTTAAACATAAAATATAATATTTTGATAATTTAAATTGTGTTTGACCAGTGTGCTGCACATTTAATACAATTTTAAGTATACTCACTCAAAGAAAGGCTTGAACCTTAGCAACTTTTTCAACTTTCCGAAGCGTGCAATTCCCTGAGGCCAATCGTGCGACAACATCACAGTTACGGGTTCCTTGAGCTGAATGGAAAAAATAAAAATGTGTTACAAATCTATTAAAACCTATAAATATACAAAATACTCCCTTAGGGAGGGGAGGTTTGTAATTATGATGGACCTGTGTAAATTATAGAAGTAAATAATAATTTTATTTTAAAGAATGTTGACCACCATTAATCGTGAAATTCTTTAAGTTTTGATAAACCACAATTGAAATACTATTAATGGTGAAAAAAAAATATTCTTTTGAAAATTAGAACGTATATTTTGAAATGTCAACTGAATATTTTAAAACCGTACAACTTTACATTTGGTCACTTTATGTATAATGCCATATGACTGTTATTACAGCTAGTTAAAAGTGGTCTATTGCACTTTGTACCTGTTTTAGTCTGAACACTTCTAATTGACGAATATGATAAACGCTGCGTTTCGTCTGTTCCGTGTAGGGAGGTCGTTCATGTCGGCCACGCATGTAATCATTACCCTTGTAAATGCCCGACAGGCCGCCTATGCGCACCCCAGCCACGTCCACTACGCCGGCAGTGCCCATGTAGTAAATGTTGGGGGCGGCCCAGCCGCCATAGCTAAGCTCTTGCATGTGGGCAGACGCTTCGTGGTTGCCACCGATAAACAACGTAAGGACGGGCGCGACCAGTTCTCCCGTGTAGTACCTGATGAACAAAACAGTCGTAGTGGTCGAAATGTATTTTAATTACTACGGGAAATGAATAACTCGAAACACTTACTTGTAAAACGTACCCATAACCTTGAATTTGTTTGGCACGGCCATAGTATCCAAGTCGTCGGCATGCCTGGTCGCTTGGAAGTCACCGCAGCACACAAGCAAATCTACGGTGAAACCGTGCTTTCGCTGCAATACTCCCAACGTTTTGTACACCCGTTCCAGTTCGCCATGAGCGCATCCTTCCACGGCGATTTTCATGTCGGCCGTCGGCCTAACGCATTGACCAGGTCGTTGTGTTTATAATACCGAACACTGTGGATGAATAATATTTGTGTAACTATATAATATTAAATACACTCCAATGCGGCTCGACTGGTACATGCGCACATAACACGAACCTTCAACGCACGATTGTCACGCAAACGTTGTATATAAATTTACAGCTTATTAATGGTTAGGTTTGATTTGTATTTATTATTATTGTAAAAATGCTTGTATTAGAAAATTGCGAAAATCCCTACACGTTCAGGACGAACAACGGAGCGAGTAAACTTGTAAAACTAAAGTGTAAACAACCGTGTCTACCGTCCGGCGACAAGTTTTGATAAGAGTGATAAGAGCGATGATTTTAATGTTCATGGTCTCCGCTAAATAGACAAAAACCCTGGATCTTTTAACTGTGTTGAATACGGTCATTGGTCGACGCTTTTTGCCTCCAACGAACGATAACTGCAATAATTAGAGACCTACAATATTAATGAATATTAACAAATTTGGCGATCGAAGTTGGCCAATTTAGAATAATAATTTGTAATACATTTTATTTGTCATTGGCGTTAGTAGCTTTCCGTGCAAGTATTGAAATTCTAAAAATGAGCATAGATAGGGTTGCCAACTGTCCTTCATTGGGCAGGACAGTTCTACATTAACTGTATGATTTGTCCCAAGTCTAACAACGCTTTAAAATTGTTGTAGGGCAACCCTACATTTCAATACAGAGACCTTGTGTCCTTATAATAAGTCCATGAAAAATTGAAAAAAATACTTATTCATAGGAATTTCATTATTATTATTTAAAATTTTATCAATTATTTGGCACAATCACTTGTATCAGATATGTTAAATTTCCTAACTCTGTATCTGATGTATATAAGTATATTTAAGATTTAACTAGAGTGGCAACCATCTAATTGCTATACATTTTTAATAGGTACTGTTGATTCGTATAACTATTTTTCATGACATTGTGATTTATAAATATTTAAATATTATGTAGGTACATTTGAAGGGTTCTGAATTGGATCGTGTAACTTGAAGTATCAGGACAGGTTCTATGGCGAAAATGTACTTTTCTTGCAGACACTACGTATACTCAAAAGTATAAATACGATTTAACAATGGTGATATAAATAAAAAGTATTAGATTATTTGTTTATAGTCATTAATAATACTACCTACACAATCCTTACATCGCTCACCTAGATCAAAACTATAACAACTCAAAAATTGGGTATTTTTAGTTATTCGGATTCTACAAACGAAGTTGCATGAACCAAAAAAACAAATTAAATTTTATCAAGATTACTCTCCAAAAGAGGGCGCTGTAAGTACCTTTTGTTGAATGACTAATTCCATAATCCTAATTCCTAACTACTCCGGCATTTAGGATTCATAGCTATAATTTTACATGACAGATTTTGAAATGTCGCCCTTTACGCCTACTTTAATATTTTATAATATATATTAATTAAAAAACTGTAACATTTTCATTATTATTGTTTAGTTTTTAATGATGGGAAGAAGGTTCTAAAATCTGCATTCGGGCGTATATAATAGTAGCCAGTATGTATATATATTTAACATCAGTGCAATACTGTTTAAATTTGAATAATTTCAATTCAGAACTAGATATATGAAAATATGTTAATACAAATTAATGATAAAAGTATTACAAGTTTAGAATTGTTTTCTGGCTTTTTGTGCTGTAAACTATTTAACAATATCGTTCCAATCCATACTTTTTAGTAGCTACACAGTACACTATTTTCAATAGACATTAAATAATAATGTATAATAATTGCCTTATACCTAGTTTCTATTCGCGTGTTCAATGTATATGCGCTTCAATATACGGTAAAAATCAAATCACATGCCAAAATAACTTATATATCAACAAAACAAAATCAATCTAACGTCCCAAAAACGATGTCACACAAAATAATACTTACAATAACAACCGAAAAATGTCAAAACTATAATTACACAATAAAACGTCTACGGTAAATATCCGGATCAGCCACATAATAAAATATTAATATAACTCACAAATAATTCCAATAATAAATCAATATAATAAAAAGCCGAACGGAGATCTTTATTTTTACATGAAGTTGATTATGTCTATAAGAATAAGACCGGCCGACTTTTCGTGGCGACTAAAGAAAAACATGTAATTACACATTTTAATTTGAAGGTCTCCAGGAATCCAGAATAATAGGATTTCCCTTTCTCCCGTCCTAAATTTTAATATTAACTATTAAGAATTCGAAAAGTTAACAGATATGTACGGTACCATTTAAGTTTCAAAAGTTATCAGAGCTTTAAAAAATACTAAAAAGGTAATAGTTATTATGAATTTTAAAATAATACAAATAATAATAATTAAAAAAAAAAAAGTACAAAATTGTAATTATTTTCCCAGAAAACGAGTATGTTATCTTTAATAAACCACCCTGTATAAATAGTGTTGTAAACTATAACGGAAAAGTATAATATAAATATTTCAAACATATAATTTTATTTTTAGCCAATTAATAAACCTTGGATTATATTTTAGAAACATAAATATTATTTTTTTGTACGTTCTATTATGAGGTACACATTATAGGTAATATTATACATACAGAGTTGGCTAAAAAACATAGTTGGTATACGTTGCATGAGCCCAGTGCTTGGTATTTATGAATAATATGGGTTTTCATAGGATTTATGTGTACCTAAAAAAAACTTAATTGGGTCAGAATTTTCTCAAAAACCCCACGGTTTTTTGGCCATTATGCCAATATGCACAGTACACGGATTTGTGCAATTCGCATTATTAATTATTGTAAATGTATGAGCAAAGTAGTACTATTTCATCACATCAGCTACAGCTGTATAATAATAATAATAACAATAACAATATATTATTACTTATATGATTTAGTGTGTATATAAGAATGGTTTTGATAGAAAACACAGTCGGTGTTTGTTGTTATATACTTACCGTTCATAAGGGTCATGGCTATAGAATATAGAGATATTTTCTCTACGTTAAAAACGGAGCCAATTTCAAATTTTCAAGTAGGTAACAAGTAGCGTAATGTATTCATAAAATATAAACTCTGTTGTGTTGATGCGCAGTTATTTTTATTTTTTTATCATTACCATAATGACGAAGCGGCGTAATAATGTTTTCTCTTTTCTGAACTTATAAGATCAAAGAAAAACCCGAAAAGTGCCAATTTCGATAGCACACTGGCTATATTACCTTTTAATGTAAACGTTTGAAAGTTCAGAACAGACTTAAGACTATAGAACTAAGAGCTACGACTGTAAGTAGAGTTTTTCGACGAGAGAGGTGAGCAAACCTTCCTCCTGAACAAGGCGTAGCTCGATAACTTAATATTATACATTAAATATTTAATAATAATAGTTGTAACTTAAACGTTTTTTTAAAAAATATTTTTCTCATGGTATAATCATATTATTATTCTAGAAAAAACTTGAGCACTTATGGTTATATGTAATAAAATAATAATAAAAACCCTTAACCATAAAAATCTTCAGCGCTCACGACAATTATGATTAATGTTTATAATCAATAAATATTTTAGATATTAAATGATTTCTATACCTAATATCTTTGGTCTATGGACAGTCACTCTTTTGGCATAATATAATCTTTACGTCCCTATTGTAAATATTGCACAAGCGATTTTTGTACTGACATTTAAACACTAATAATAGGTATGCTATTATATTTTTGTTTTAACAATAATATTATGTTTAAGAGTTCTATTAGGTTGAAAGGCATTCATATTATATTATTATTAGGTGAAACAATTTTTATTATTTGTGTTTTAAATTTTATATATTGTTCCAATGACTATGGATGAGTTTGTTTCAAACCCGCCAAAAGCCTTGGATAGTTGGAAGGAAGATGTGTTAACAGCTAAGGCTCTTGAACCGCTGTTAAGCTAAAGTTAAATGTAGGGTTAGGAAGATAAGGAAAAAGTATTTCTATTTTCAGTTGTACCGCAAAAGGTTGCTTGGTAAAAACTAAAATGAAACGCAATACTGAAATATAAATACATTTTTTGACATTTAATATTCTCTTCCCGTAAGGGATACGTGTGTAGACTGTAAAAATTTGTCTAAGAAATTATTTTCTAAGATTTTTTTTTTTGCGAGGACTATATCAATACGCCTAATCCTCCTCGCCCCTTTCCCCAGGTATAACAATAATAACAATAATAATAATAATAACAATAATACTATGACTAGGTTTATATGGCTTATGTTATGGCAGTTGATTCAATTCAGGGTGACCATAAGTCGCTCAACTGGACCGTGTTTAGAGCTGGGCGAGATGGAGGAGAGTGACTGTTTGGGGGGAACTAATACAGTTTTAATGGATCGCTGCATTGAACATGAACCCATTAGTGTATAATATATATATATAAGTATAAATAGTGATGTTGGCCGAACGCGACGGCCAACGAATTTTAAAATAGTTAATTGCGAAAAACCGTGGACTGCAGTCGAAAAAGCAAAATACATAATATACACATGTATGCGTACAAGTATATGTTCAATTACTCTTATTAATCAGATTTAAAACAAATTGTCTTTACATTTTTTTGTCTTTTCTAAGAATGTTTTATGGCTCTTACTTATATTACCTCATAGTGTACGTTTTGCATGTACAAATTACAATCATTTTTAACAAAGAATACATATGTACATTGAATTTATACAAATATTAGCTTATTGGCAAAATAATAGCATCATATGTTTAAAAGTACTCGGCGAATTCGAAAAAAGCTTTTTCAAATTTGATTTGGTCTTTTATATTTAAAAGTAGAACCTTTCAATACGTGTATATATCTATATTTGTAACATTTTTTTATGAGAATGATTTTGTTATTTCACCTGTATGAAAAGAAAAAACTCAAATCCGAAAATCCAAATAATCCGTCAAATCCGAGTTCAATAAAATCCGCAAATCCAGATTTCTTAAAGTCCCATCACTTTAGTGTCAACTTCTTTCTCACTTGTAAAATATTACACAGAATCTTAAAGGATAATAAAATATTTAACATTTCACCATAAGCAATTTTATTTAATTAAATAATTATTCTCAACAAAGTTGTCAAAGTTCAGTCATTAAACTATTAAAATTTGCTGAAATTATTATTAACTAATAAACCTTTTTTACCTTTTTTGTCACGACACATTAAGCTTATTTAACTTTAATTATTCAGCGACTTGACAAAGTTAATAAGGATTAAAACTTTAAATGCATTTTGCGCGTTTTTCAATTCA